CCCCCACCCGCCTTCCTGCCCAGGTTCCCGGCTCGCCTGCCCTCAGCCTGCAGCTGTCCCCACAGTGAGCCACGCTCACTCACTCACAACTGTGACTTCCCGCCTGCTCTCTGTCCTGCCTAAATCTCAGGGCATGATCTTCCCACAACCCCACAACTGTTTTTTCCTGATAAAGTCCCACTAATCCTTTAAGATCCATCTCAAGCCATTTCTGTGAGTCTTTGATCATTTGTCCCTTAGAATTTTCTTGACATTCTTTAAGTCCATTACAGCCCTTATGTAGTAATATTAATAAAACATTAAAAGTAATGATATTAATATCACTGAGTGCTGCCAATGCCAGGCACAGCTCTACACGTCCGGTACATTCTCTCGCTTAATCCTCTCAGCACCCAGATGGGATAAGACCTCCCCTCCCCTTTACAGACGGGACTCGAAGGCCCAAGAGAACCACAGCCAGGAGCAGAGCTGGGACGTGGACAGGCAGCCTGGTGACAGGGCCTGCCTTTGTCTCCTGGGCCAGCTGTGCTGGCTGAGTCAGTGTCCCCAGCCAGATCGAGCAGCCCCAGGTCACTAGTGGGGTCCCAGGTACGGCCCCTGCCCTTGAAAAATGTCTGTTGAGTGAATGAAGCATAAAGAATTTCATTCTCTCTCCAAGGAACTTACCCCACCTGATAGATTCATGCAACTCTCTCTACAGGGTCAGGAGGAGAGCAGCAAAATACTTAGCAGGATCCACAGCTACTTACACGCTGACGGTCAGCCCCAGCAGAGGGCAGGTGGCAGGCATGAGAGCCTCTAGAAGAGCCCTCCTCCCAGTTACCTGTGAACAGAGCCTCGCGCTGCACTTCATAGCCTCCGGGCTCTGCACCCACCCTCCCTTCTCCAAGGTCACTGCGACCCTGAAGCCCTCCACCCCTAACTACTGGCTCCATTTATCTATCTGCCTGCAGCGTTGCTCCTATGTTTGCCCCTCCTCCCTCCTCTTGCTCCAACTTAGGGGCCTTCAGAACATTTGCTTCAGAATGAGAACAATACGCATTCTTTCCATCTGTGTGTTGCTCAGGGCCATGATCACAGGGTGGGCACACGGAAGGAACTGTCCCAGTGAGGGATGTCCAGTTATCCAGGAAACCAACACCAAGAACAAAAGCTTCATGTTTGAAACAAAAATAAAATGTTAGCATCACATAGTAACTGGTGCAAATTATTGCTCTTTGCAGGCTGCTTGGCCCGGCTTTAGGTGCTTTACCTGCATTTGCTTGTACAACATCTCTATGAAAAGACATAATTAGCATCCCCATTCCAGAGATGCAAATAAGAGTCAGAGAACTTAAATAACTGGGCTGAGATCACACAGTAAGTCCACGGCAAGGCTGGACAAGACTGTGAGATTTCACAGCCTGGGTGCTAAGTCAGTGATGTTCTCACTTTTTTGATCCAACAAAATCAGTAAAATATTTTAATCACCCATTATTTGTATTACCAAGAATCTTTGGTTTGCTGAGGAAATATTTTTGAGTCATCATGAGGACTGGTTTATTTAAAATGAGACTAACACACAAACCCACTTACCAGGGCTCATGCAAACTATAACACAGCTTGGGTTCTGCTGAAAACAAGACGAGACACTCTGTCAATACCACTGTGTTGTGGACTCCCCCTTGTCCCTCAGAATCCCCTCCATGCTCATCTGACACACACCTGATCTCCTTCCATACTCAGAACGCTCCGTGGCTTTCCCTGTCCACAGAGCTGCTCAGCTCCCATGACTGGGGTACGTGGCCTGGCTGTAAAGCCACCTGAACCCTAAGCTGGACACAGAAGGAAAGACAACCTCAGAGGCCTTGGAGCTCGGGGATCTTGGTGCTGGTCTGTGCAGCACCACTCAAGATGTGCCCAGGAGCCCCACTTGTTTTTACTTGCTCTGCACAATGGGGTGTTCCCACAGGTGGTGGTGGGAAGGTCAAACGGACTGATACACAATAAAATACTTTGAAAAGGAAAATGCTGCACAGATCTGTGAAATTATTTTCTCTAGGAGGGAGGCTCTAAGCAGAGGACCATGGTCTGTGGTGTCCCACCACCACGAGGGGTGACGCAATCGTCAGAATTATCTTAATTACCCCAATCCTGGGATAAAGCTGGGTCCAGCACTTGTTTCTATAAGACCCAGGAGTGCCCCATAGCTGGGAGACCCAGGATAGCCACTACCTGCAAGGGAGATTCCCCCGGGGGGGGGGGAGAACACTAATCTTTCTAACATGAGTATCTTCCAGAGGTGAGGGAAGTGGTTCCACTGTCTCAGTGGAATCATAAAGCTATTCTACCCTATTTGATCTTTGGTTCTGGGTGTGTGACATCAGAGAAATTCCTTTTTCCAAAAGGTTTGGAGAGCCTCAGAGGACACATGAGGTCCAGTCTGGGTCCCTCCCAAAATGAGAGAAGACAGCTGGTAAGTGCATACCACTCCCTTGGCCAATGTGCATTTGACCGAAGAAAGCTTTACTATAAATGGTATAGTTTGGCCAAAACTTCAGCACCTCTAGGATCATACCTCCCACCCCCAGGCTGACTGGTCTGTGGAGAAATGCATGGGCTGAGGCATTCCTGGAGGTATCCCTGGGGGAATAAAGTAGCAGGAAGTCTCCCACATTTTAGTGTCCACAGGCTACAGTGCCTTTGCCATAGCAGCAGACAGAGGAGAGTTGTCTGGTTGGTTAGTTGGTTAGATGGCTGGTTGGTTTGTGGAGCAGTAGAATTCAAGGAACGGGGGGGGGGTCTAGAACACAAGGCCCTAGGTAAAGGTCCCTGGCCTGGGAGAAGATAAATATCAGCCAGGACCCAGAAATGACATCTCTGGGTCCCTGTGCAGTGAGGGGGGGACATGGCACAGAGGGAAGGACTCCCAA